ATTATTTAGATGGAAGTAAGTGGTTTTGTTAATCATTTTTTCTGCGTATCTATAATTAATTCGAGAATAAACTAAATTTTCTATTGCTTATACAAAAAGTAATTGGCACTATCCATTGTTCTTGTATCAATTAAGGAAAACTTGTGGCAGTAGTGATTACACTGTCCAACAAGTTTTACACGATAGGCAATTTTATGGTTTTTAATAAATGTTTATGACATTAGAAGAAAATCGTCTCACATAANATTATTTAGATGGAAGTAAGTGGTTTTGTTAATCATTTTTTCTGCGTATCTATAATTAATTCGAGAATAAACTAAATTTTCTATTGCTTATACAAAAAGTAATTGGCACTATCCATTGTTCTTGTATCAATTAAGGAAAACTTGTGGCAGTAGTGATTACACTGTCCAACAAGTTTTACACGATAGGCAATTTTATGGTTTTTAATAAATGTTTATGACATTAGAAGAAAATCGTCTCACATAAGGAAACTGAGAATGATCAAAAAACGGTTCTTCTTAGTTATTGTTAAAATTTATAAGAATCACCTATAAGTTATCGTAAAATTGATGTTGGACAGCGACATTAAGCTGAAGATAGAATAAGCATGATATATTTACAAGGAATTCATGTTGAACCGATTTTAAGATAAAAAGATCCCAAAAAACGAAATTTAAAAAATTATTCAAACACTTGAACGTAAAAAAAAACAGAAAGGACGATGAATACAAATTTTCTTGTCCCAAAAGGCGAGAGAAGCAAGATTTCTGTGGAAGCTTTGCTAATTTTCAGTGTTCACAGTATAGTGCCGATTAATCAAATGCAATCATATGATAGTTGTGCGCATAATCCTATGCACCAGCATTGGTACTCGAACATGGAAACACTGCAAACATTCTAATCGCTTAACGCTATTCTCTACAAAACAATGATCGAATTATCGTTACGTCCACAAAATTTCATAGAAAAAAGGAGAAAAAAGATAATGCTAATAACAATTACTATACCAAAGATATTCCAACCCCATGCTTCGTCTTTAATTCACAATGAAGTTTTCCTCTTGACAATTAATTAGCATAACAAAATTAATGATCACAATCATTCCAATCCCGAAAAATAATCGAATATTATAGTTAAGTCCTTTTGCAGCCCACATATGATGTTATTGTCGTTATCTTAAGCGCTAACACGTTCAACAGTAAAGTTCGAGAACATAGAACTCTTTGACGGAAGAGTAAATATGAGAGATGAATTTAATAGTAGCAACGCGGGAAAAAATGAAATTGTGAAATGAATTGTTCGTTGGAAATAAAAGCAGCTGAGGGATTATTAGATTTCTTAGAAACGCTAGCTCAATGTAAAAAGTTCCTTATAAAGTTTGATGTAATATTCAGTTGTTCTTTCTTTCTTTTTTTTTCTTCATTAAAGAACTTGAATAGAAAGATCATCGTTTTATGCTTAATAAAGCAGTATGCGTCTGTCAACGGCTTTCCGGCATATTGGACATTCTGACATTTGGTCGCCACACATTTGACAGGTTCCATGGCCGCAAAGGAATATCATGTTCTTCAAACGGTCCAGGCAAACGGGGCACATGGTCTGGAAAAAGAGAAGAAAATATAGCAATTGGTTTTCATGCTTTTATATTCCATGAAAATACTTCAATGATTCTGCTAAAAGAAATCAAATTTGTCCTTAGTAATTTAACTGTCATTTATTTGTACTCCTTTTCTTAGTGTATTTCGAATAGAGCTTTTCAATGAAGCAGAAGGAAATTAGGAGAGTCTACCAATTAGTTTTGATAACGGTTCGACAAGCATACTCAAAGTTTCCACTGCTTTGCTGGGATGTATATACATATATATCTTGTGTGCATTATGCGCACGTAATCGCCAGGGAATTAGTGCGTGCATATTACAACCAATAACGCTTAATGCTCACCTGTTCCTTGATGTCCTGTAATTGCTGTTCAAGTTTCTCTATATCGCTGAGAGTTTTGTCGATGCTTTCGTTGTTTATGAGACATTCTCCGCTGCCAATCACTTGTTTGCTGGTTGCTGGCTCTTCTTCAGGATCGCTTTTCACCTCGGTTATATTACCTTTACATTAAAACATAAATTACAGTAAGTACAATAATTGTACAGTAATTTTCTAATTGCTTAAAATAATGTAAGCCATTCTAACGATGATGTATTATAAAAAGGATTATCGTTTAAACAATTTAAAAGACAGCCCAGCATGCAGTTGCTTTCAAACTACATGTTTCATCGTTTCTCTACATTTTTTTAATTGTTGATCACAGTTGCAAGAATCGATAAATGATATTATACGGACAACTACTGTAGATGTGGCAAACTTGCTGTACATTTCCATGTGTTCATACGCACATAAACATCCGCAGTCTATTTATAGTGAATCCTTTAGCCTTGATACTTGCAGTTTACATTAGTATGAAAGCCACAGTGTATATTTCGTGTCGAAAAACTCCGATCAATTGATTTGAAACATTAATTTGAACATTTTGTAAAAATAAAAATGTATTTTTATTCTAATTGCGATCTTCGCGGGACTCTGTTTCCAATGATACCTGAAGTGTTGATACCCTTGACATAAGTGACATCCCCTCCGCCCCCGCAGCAGACGGACAACGGCACCATGTGTTGAATTTGAGCTCTACACTGGACGCATTTTTTCATAAGGGCTGCACAGCCTTCGCATGCACACATGTGTCCGCAGGGTCGAAATAATACTCCAGCTTTGCGATCCGAACACACGACGCATTCTTCGATCTACAAAAAAAACGGATATTTTATTTCTTTTTTCAGTTCTAAAGAACAATTTTTTTTTTATTAACTTGCCACTTCGATACACTAATCGCTTGCGAGAATTATTTAATTCTATGCTAAATATTAATAGAAAATACATTGTACTCTAACGTATCATTACCTCTTTAATTTTATATTTTTCTAGAGAGGATTCGGAATTGTTTCTCTGTTTGTAGAAATATATAAAATTGTATGGGAAATGAGTTTGCAATATTCAGGATAAACGTGAAGCATTTGAATGCAGAAATACGTTGGATGCACACCTTCATTCTCGTCAGAACGTTCTCCCTGCAAATCAGACACTTCTTCACCCGCGGCGCACAAGTGTTGCAACAGGCAACATGTCCGCAGGGGTTGAAAAGCATTTCACGTTTTCCATCTGAGCAGACCAAACACTCGTCGATCGTTGCTGATGGCGGAGTCGTTCCAATACTGTGCCTGGAAACATAATTACATTTAAATGTCGGATTCCGTGACTGACAGATAAATATCTGCTCTTCAAATCATAATCTATTCTCCATTTAGAATTACATCGAATTAAAATGAATAACAGCATCTTAAGCCTCGGATTACATAAATAGAAATTTACTACCGTTCTTCAACACCAAACAATGATCTCACATAAATCTGTATCCAAAGCGCAAGATTCAAATATTTCATTCTATATCTTATGCTATTAAATACAAGATTAAAATATCGAATGCTATTAATCCTTTTACACTATTAATTCTTTGAGGATTTTAAAAGATGTTCTGAATATTTTTCTGAGTTTCGGAATTGCCAGGTAGGAAGAGAGATTAGGGTTACTAACGACTCCCTGTCTTTGTGGCAAGTAGTCAATGTTTTGCAGAGGTTTGGATCCGGGCATAGGTCAAGAGGTGTTTGTCCTTTCTTGTTCTTGAGCCCCAGGTCAGCGCCATGGGCTGCCAGGAAGCAGGCAATGAAGGAGCTGCTCTTCTTGTCTAAGCCCTGCGCCCCTAAACAAATCAGGAGACGTCCGACGTCCTGGACATCCTGCAGCTGTCGCAGCTGCGATAACGTGTGATATCGCAGGGCCTCGTGCAGAGGTGTGTCACCGTCCTTGTCCGCGACATTTAGGTTTGCACCTTCGCGCACCAGCAGCTGTGACAAAATTTATGATTGCTGATTAATCGCTCAATGTCCATGCAGATCTCATCCCCTAACTCACACGTGCCGTATCAACTGTACAATAAGCTGTCTTTTACGAATTGCTCGAGTTTCTAAGGCTGCAAGAAGATGAAATGGATCTTTCAGCATTTTTTACGGAAACAGTCGCGAATATTTTGCGAATAATTCTTTTTGCGTTCGAAAGGAAGGACTTTTAGGTAGTCCTTAGAACTTTTTCATTGGAAAAACTTGTTCATTTAGGGGCGTACGTTCCAGATAGAGTGTTCTGAGAGAGCGGCCTTTGAGAGTTCTTTGCAAGAAAAGTTGCAGACAATTCGGAATAATTCTTTTTGCGTTCGTAAGGTGGTACATTCGGATGGTTCTCGGTACTTTTTATCGTTACGAAATGACCGCCACTTCCCCGGAAATAATTTTTAGAACGTACACGGACGATCTGCGTGTGCTGCCGCTCGACAGCGAGGTGCAGCGCGGTCTGCAGATTGACGTTCTGCAGATCCAGGTCAGCTTTCCCGAAACGTGCCAGCTGTTCCGCGACTTCCACGTGGTTGTTCAAGGCGGCCAAATGAAGAGCCGTGTACCCATCGTCCTTTTTCTCATCCACCAGCCAGGGTCGAGGAAGTTTCGACAGCAGCACCCGCATAGCACTGCAATTAAAACAAAAAGGAGTTTAGTTTCGGTTAGTTCGAGCATTCGTTGGTTTGCTTCAACAGCAATTGAACAACAAAAAATCGCACAGCAATCGTTCTTAGCTTATTTTAAAGGGTGAAGTATCTACTTTCGACGTGCCCAAGTTGCAGTTCCTACAAAAATTATACTGGTTTAAAAAAACTGAATATTTTATAATACCCTAGTATGATTAAATCTTGAGCCGAGGATCCTCGATGTTCGACTTACTATAACTTCGAGAAAGAAAATCGCACATCGATCTGCTTCAGCTTATTTTAAAGCTTAAAGTTTGCACTTTAATGTCCACTATTTTCTTTTTTTATGCCTGGACCATTGTGAAAAGCGCTCGGTGATCAAGAACTGTATCTTAGAAAAATTTTCGAGCATGGCGGTCATCGCGAAGTTGAAAAAATCGTAGCATCGAGAAAACGAGTCGGACAGTGATCAACCTCGGCTCATTTCGAAGCTCAAAGACTCTACTTTGAAAGACCGTAAGGTATTTTTCCCGTTGCTTAAACGTTAAGTCGCTGACAAACGATTTCGGAACAGGCGATCCGGAAATCGGCAATTTCGCTGGAAAATGCAATATGGATTTGTTATTGGAAGCCGCGCAATCAATTATCCGACAAACGTTTGTAATTCGACGCCATATCATTGCCTCGCATTAGCGAGGATCGGCGCAGCTAACCGATGATAAATCACACGAAATCAAACAGATATATTCGTCATTTAGGTGTTTTCACCATCGATCGCCGCGGTACGCTCCGTTTGCCGAAATCCTTTCGGTTTATAATTGCTCCATGATTAACACTGCCGTCTATTGATCAACAAACACCCGAAATCTCTGATTAGCAGAATTCGGAGGCTACCAAAATCGTCTAATTAATTTTTCACAGCTCCCCATCATTAATCCCCAACAGTCGCGACAAAGAATTCGACTGTCAACTTCGTCAATTCTTGGAATTCAAATTGTGCGAGTAAAAAATACAGTTCTTACAGAAAATTGTTCCTCAGCCTCCCCTAAACGAGATAGCATAGATCGACGACGTCGTTGTAAACGTTGGAACGTATTTGAACAATTTTCAAAGGGTCGCGTTTCCACGATTTCGTTGGAGGATCTCGCGTTTGCGTGCGCGTATTTTGAAAATTAGGAGAACGAGGGCGAATCGGGGTGTGCATTACGCGATAGAACAATCCTAAACGAGTAAACAACATTCTAGTAGTTTTGTTCGGAACGTTAAAACAAAGCCTGGCCGAATATTTTCCGCGGTTCTTCCGGGTCAGTTAATCAATTTACGGCTATCGACACAATGGCGGCCGCTCTCGATCCCTTCTGAATATTTATACCGATAAAATCGGCCGATTCGCGGCCCGTGATTGCAGTTGCAGTTGCACCCGACCGTTTCCCGGGCTCGCCTTAATATAATAAAAAAAAAAGGGAAAAAGAGAAAAATACGGCGGACCGGGGTGCCGTAAAATTTTGATGGTCTTCCCGGCGCGAACCGGCGGACGTAAAACCGTGTAACGGCCCCGAGAAATCGAATAAAATGGCGGACGAGGGCTGTTAGGCGACGGGCAAATCGATCCCGCGCGATAAAACGACAATTATACCGAAACCGGCCGCGAGTAATCGACTGTTTGCGTTAATCGGGCAAACAGTATTTTTCTGTTTGAGCCGGCTGACCCGATCAATTTGCTCTCCTTATTGTTCCGACTATTGATTGGGACCGCGAGCACGCAAATATTATCGTTCAGAAAATAAATGTCGGGCCGGAACGGACGATTCCCGACGAATAAATAATTATGAACGCGCTCCAATTAGCTTCGCTTTAATCAGCGATTTTAGAGTAACACACCGTTCTCCGAGCTATCGTAACTTCGTGAACAAAAATCGTACAGCGATCGAATTTAGCTCATTTCAAAGGACTGATCCTCCAGTTCCAACAACCCTACTTGATTTTTCTCTTGGGTCTTTTCTCTCGATCAGAAAATTTAATATTGCACGCGACTCCCAGCGATCGAAGATGTACGCGACGTAGAGATATTCTTCATGTTTGATCTACAGTAACTTCGTGGAAAAAAATCGCTCAGCAATCACAATCAGCTCAATTTAAAGAGCGAAGCTTCTACTTTTATCATCTATGTGCGATCAATCATTAAAAAATTTATTCAACCTTGGGGAATTGATAATTGCAAACCACCCCCGCGGTTCAAAAACGATCGTTGAAGTATGTACCAGGAAGCGTAACATCCTGTACAAAAATCATACAACAATCAAAATTAGCTCATTTTAAAGCTCAAAGTCTTCTCTTTAATTAGCCTTAAATAACTCGCCCTCTACGATTTTTCCCTGGCCGGGAAATACTAATCTTGCACACCCCGGCGACTGAAATCTGACGGAAGCGTAGTCGAGCGGCATTTTTATCGAACGCAACGCAGCCTGATGCAATCGAAAGTGTATTTAAGGAACACTCCCCCCCTCCCCGGAGATAGGAGTAGCCGAGACAGGGCAGGTAATTTTAATAGACGGCTCGTAGATTCGAGGCGAGTTTCGCAGTTTATCTGGAAAACGGTGGCTGACGGTTATCGAATGTGTACGTGACAAGTCGAAACACGTGCACGGTTGCACGACAAAAACATATGCATGTCTGTTGCATCCCATCCCCTCCCCAGCCGTGGTGCAGCCTCGAGGAGGTCCTCGAGGGGGACAGCTGTCACGTCTCTTTCCGCCTATGCCCTCGAGAAAACTCGGTCCATGGGGTCCGTGCCGGCGCGACCGTGCTCGAGAAACGTGGCCGTCCGCGGAAAGGAAATCTCTCAAATTGGAGACGTCTCCAGAAATTAGAACGTTATGCAATCGGTCCAGGAATATCCGCTTCCCAAACACCGGCGCATTTATTTTATTCGAGCGCGACAGACGAGCGACGACGCATTTCCACCGTGAGAAGTTCCGGCTCGCGAATTTCCACGGAACCTCGGACGATCTTCCTCCGATTCGAGCCGGCACGAACTCGAAGATCAACGTCTTCGTATACAGTTCTAGAATATTGAAGCACAATATTTTTTACAAGCGTTGCATTGCTCTTGGAACAAGACGAAGCTCAAAATGATCCGTTTTGGTTTAAGTTTCACGACTTCGAACAGTCGCACCGAAGTCGAAACATTTTTCCCAAGACTGTAACAGCTACGAAAACGAAGATCGGCGTCTGCCCTTTGCGACGAGCCCTTAACCGTCCAAGTGCGATTTTTTTACAGGCGTTTCGATACGCCTCGAACGAGCGGAAGCCGGAAACGATGATACGTTTCCCTCTTCCGGTATTGTTGACTTCGAACGTTTACGCCGCGCTTAAAGAATATCTCGCATGACTGAAACTGCCGCGAACTTGAAGATCGCAGTCCGCTCTTCGCAATGGCACCATAAAAATCGACCGGTAGCGTTCTCGGGAATCACGGGCGACGAAGCGTCGTCGACAGCGAAACGACGATTCCCGCCCGGTGATTCGCCGAGTTGTTTATTAAAATCGATGAAGGCATATTGTCCCGTTTGCAGAACTGCTTCGTCCTTGAGGCGAAGTGCACTTTAAAGTCGGCGTCCGAGCAAACATGGCCGGTAACGCGGCGGGCATCGTTGCGCAATACGCGCATAAATTAGCGCGATTGAGCGAGTTAGCGGCGGATTAATTGATAGAACATTTTCTGGTCCGGGATCGCAATAATATCGCGGTCCCCGTGACGTCACCCGCTGCTCGGTCGCTGCGGATGACACCTGTATGACGTATCTTCTGCCGTGGTACGTGTTGTGACGCGCTCAAATATCGAACATGTCGCTGTCACACGGTGTCTCGTTCTGTTAGACGCGAGCCCGTGACATGCACAACCGTACGTCGCATCGTGTTGCAATTTGCTCGACGGCGAATGCTAGATAAACCGGCGCCCTGCCACTCTCCAACTATCTATCGACTTTCCTCCGACTTCCCGCCATTTCTTTTTTCTTTTTTCTTTTTCAATTCGAAACCGTCGCCGCTCGATACACGGCCGATTTTTCCGTCGCGAGCGAATTTCCCATTTTGGTTCGGTCAATGGTGAAATATTCGGGATTTTACGGGCTCGCTGGAGAGAGGACACTTCGATCTACCGGTTTGTGCCGATCTTAATCGTTAAACAAATTTTCCGAGCTCGCCGCAAAGGTTTCGTGTGAACAATCTTGGAAGAACAATGATTTTCCGCTTGCTCGCGCTCGAAGTGCAATAACGCGCTTGTGAAAAATCGCACGTCAATTTTCGGGGGCTTGTTAGAAAGGGCAGACTTCAATCTTCAAAATCGTGTCGGTCTCAGTCGTAAAAAAAATATTGCCAACTCTCCGGAGACGTTCGAATCGAGAATTCTCCGGAGGGCGAGTCATCTTCGCGTTCCACCCTGCCGTTTCATACGAAATTATATTAGAAGAAACGATGCTACAGATATCGAAACTAGAATCTTCACCCTTTCGAACAAGCCAAGGTAGACCACCGTTCGATTTTCTCGCACGAAGTTGCATTGCGTCGAATATTAACGATTCCGCAGCGAAGTGATCGCAAACGTACAATGTTCTAGTGCAAACAAAATCCTAAGAATACGGCAGCATTCGGCGACATTAAACTAGAATCTTCAAGCTTCAGAATGAGCTAAAATAGATGCTCGTGCCGTAATTCTTGGCGAAGTTACGCTAAATCGAACAATTCGAATCGTTCATTTCCAATTCCATAAAATACCGCCTTCGCTTCCTCCCCCGAACCGACTCGCCGAAGATCGTCTTAAAAAATCCAGCTTACGGACGTGAAAATTAGAATCTTCGCCCGTGAAAATAAGCCCAATTGGGCCTCCGTCCGATCACTGCTTCCCGAATCAAAGCGGCCGAGACATTCTCGTCGCGTTCCATCTCCAACCCCGAAGGATTGAACCCTTTCGCCGAGGTTGCAACGTTTCTCGAAATCCCGGT